ACAACAACCAGTTGAAAACAAACCAAACTAAATTTTTTTACTGAGATGAAATGACCGAAGAAGTTGAAACGGTAGATTTGACACCACAAACAAAAAGTTCAGAACCATTGTCAAAACCTGTCAAAGAACTTACAGATGAAGAGAAAAATTCAATAATAGAAAGTGCCAGGTCTGGAAATACAAACCCTAACTACAAAGTCACTTTTCATAAAAATGGAACGGCTAGTATCTCAAAAAAGAAACAGACTCTCACAAATAAAATATTGAAGTCTGAAGGAGCTTTCGAGACAACAGATGGAAAAGTTTACTTCACTGACCAACAGTTCATTATAGAACATCTCATTGACTTAGAGTCGAAATATTCTAAACTTTACAACAAACACAAAAAGTTGAAAGGAAAACAAAAACAAATGGCATATGATATTTATGAAGATGTTGACGACACAACTGTTCCTGCAAGTGAAGTAAAGTCAGAGGAACCGAAAAGTGACGAAAAACCGATAGAAGAAGAAAAAACCAAAAACTGAAGATAAACCAAAACCAAAGTTTAGTTTCCAAACTAAACCAAGTCAACCTTCATTAGCTGGTATGGGTTGGCGTCAAAGACTTATGGCAGCAGGCGGTTATGTAAAGTAAAGAAAAAAAATATTTTTTTATTTTATTTGAAATGTACGCTGAGTTTGTTGGAGAAGACCGTTGGGAAACTTGTTTGTTAGATGAGAAATATGAAATGGCATACCATTTTAAAACAATATATTTTTACATATATTAAATGCTTCAGGTTGAAAAACAAAGAACAAAAGTAGCAGATACAAAACCGTTAGACTATATCTATACAAATGCTGGTAGGACTATTTCAGATGAAGAAATTTCATCCCGAGCATACAGGTTTGACTATCCAATTCGTTGGCTTCAAAGTCCTTCAGATGCAAAGGCAATAGGATTTAGAAGAGTTTTGTTTTCAAATAGAACTAACGCATTTATGTTCGCAGTATATTTTCATGGGCAGTATAAAGGTTCTGATGGTCTAATAGACAAATTTGACGAAATGAGAATCTTTACAGTTCGTTCAGACGAAAGTCTTGAGAAAACTCTAAATGACTTTCAAACTCAAATGAACAAATATTATTGGGAATTTCAAGAAAAATACGACTCTTTACTAAATGGAACATACTATCTGAAACTAGAATATGACAAGATGAACTCCACCGTTTCATTTCAAAAGATTGAAATTAACCCTCCAAGAGATACAGAGTTTTTATTTTGGAAAGTAGACAAACGTTCTTGGGCACAATTTCTTCGGTTACTAAACCAGAACGAACCATTACCACCAGATGGTCCATTTAAATTTATACTTCCACCAGCAGATTTGACAGTTTATAGAAACGTGTTTGACCCTCAAAATGTTATGTGTCATGCAAGTTTCAGTTCAAGCAACAATAGTTTTCTATGTATTGGTAAGGACTTTTATGACTTTGCTTCTAAATTCTACGAACCACCTAGTAACAGTTTCTCTGACTTTCAAGTTTGGTTCACAACAAATGGTGTGCAACATATTATTCCATTGTACTATGACTTTTATCTCGAATTGTCTTTCATATATAACTACGGAAAAGTGCTGAAAAAGTATTGAAAAATAATGTTTATGTTAGCATGTTAGATCTAACACGTTTTCTAACCACTTTTCTAACATCGTAGAAAACTCATGAAAACAATTTATTTTAAAACTTTCACAAAAAACATAAAAAAGTGAAGTTAAAATGAGATGTTTACTGAACTGGTTGGATGTCGCCTTCACAGGTTATGTAGAACGGCTGACCCGAGAAGCGAAGGAGAGACTGAATTGCCAATTTCATATGGGGTAGAGGGTTCTCCTTGTTTGGTATTTTTATCCAAGGACGTTTGTTTAGGAACTTAACAAGAGCTTCTCTTTTGGCGTCCTTTATGTCGTCGAAAGGAGTGTTTTCTGGTATTTGAATTGGAATTCCGGTCGAAGTCTCGAGATTCAAGGCAGCCCTTCCAGAAATAGTGGTGAACTTGACCTTGGGCTTCATGACCTTGCGCAAGTAGTCTTTTACGCAGTCGTTAATTTAAATTAGGTAAATTGCCTCGTCGGTAGGTTCGACCTCGACCATTGCTACTGTCAGTAAAAGTACTGCTACTGTCAGTAAAAGTACTGCTACTGTCAGTAAAAGTACTGCTACTGTCAGTAAAAGTACTGCTACTGTCAGAAAAAGTACTGCTACTGTCAGAAAAAGTACTGCTACTGTCAGAAAAAGTACTGCTACTGTCAGTAAAAGTACTGCTACTGTCAGTAGCAGTACTGCTAGTAGCAGAGATTTTTATCGTTGTGGTCCGACGGTTAAGCCACAAACGAATGTCCCACGTTCCACCAACCGAGTCCATTCCCAAACCAGAGGAACCTAAAGAACCAGCCCCTGCACCTCAGTTCCAGCAAGTACCTCCGAATTTCTACCAATTTCCACCTCAAGGTTACTACCCACCACAAGGCTTCCCGAACTACCCTCCTCTGCCTATGCCTTACTTCCCCAACCCTTGGATGTTCCAGCAAGCTCCACCCCAGCAATTCCAATCTCAGTCCAAATCGAAGAGAGACCAAGAGTTCGAAGAAGGTCTAAACCGTTTACGCAAAGAGTATGCTACAGCTCCAATTGAGAGAAAGTTGTTCCCGGACCAAAAATATAATTTAGGTGAAGAGGTTAGATCTAACACGTTTTCTAACCACTTTTTTCACCTCTTGAATTTTCATGAATTTTCCCGAAATAAAAAATAAAGTTAGTTTTATTTTGTATGTAAAGATATGATTTCAGGGATTTTTTTGACGAAGTGCAAACGTTCACTTCGTCAAAAAATAACAGTTATATAATGAAAAAGTGTCATTTTTTGTATTTTTTTGTATTTGACGAGAATGTCGGGTAGAAGGTTAGATCTAACCTGTTTTCTAACACGTTTTCTAACCTCTTGAATTTGTCAAGACTTCTTCGTAAATGTTTTGTCAAGACTTCTTCGTAATGAGTGTAAAGGACCCAAAAATATAATTTAGGGTAGATGGTTAGATCTCACCTGTTTTTTCACCTCTTTTTTCACCTCTTGAATTTGTCATGACTTCTTCGTAAATGTTTTGTCAAGACTTCTTCGTACATGTTTTGTCAAGACTTCTTCGTAAATGTTTTGTCAAGACTTCATCGTAATGAGTGTAAAGGACCCAAAAATATAATTTAGGGTAGAAGGTTAGATCTAACCTGTTTTCTCACCTGTTTTCTAACATGGTCTAAAACTCTCGAAAATCATGAATTTTCATGAATTTCCTTAAGATAGAAAAAATAAAGTTAGTGTCATTTTTTTGTATTTTTTTGTATGTAAGATATGATTTCAGGGATTTTTTTGACGAAGTGCAAACGTTCACTTCGTCAAAAAATAACAGTTATCTAATGAAAAAGTGTCATTTTTTTGTATTTTTTTGTATAAAAGATATGATTTCAGGGATTTTTTTGACGAAGTGCAAACGTTCACTTCGTCAAAAAATAACAGTTATATAATGAAAAAGTGTCATTTTTTGTATTTTTTTGTATTTGACGAGAATGTCGGGTAGAAGGTTAGATCTAACCTGTTTTCTAACACGTTTTCTAACCTCTTGAATTTGTCAAGACTTCTTCGTAAATGTTTTGTCAAGACTTCTTCGTAAATGTTTTGTCAAGACTTCTTCATCGTAATGAGCGTAAAGGACCCAAAAATATAATTTAGGGTAGAAGGTTAGATCTAACCTGTTTTCTAACCTGTTTTCTAACCTCTTGAATTTTCATGATTTCATCGTATATGCTTTGTCAAACATGAACGTACATGCTTTGTCAAACATGAACGTAAATGCTTTGTCAAACATGAACGTAAATGCTTTGTCAAACATGAACGTAAATGTTTTGTCAAGACTTCTTCGTACATGCTTTGTCAAACATGAACGTAAATGTTTTGTCATGACTTCTTCGTAAATGTTTTGTCATGACTTCTTTGTAAATGTTTTGTCAAGACTTCTTCATCGTAATGAGCGTAAAGGACCCAAAAATATAATTTAGGGTAGAAGGTTAGATCTAACCTGTTTTCTAACCTCATTTCTACCCTCTTGAATTTGTCAAGACTTCTTCGTAAATGTTTTGTCAAGACTTCTTCATCGTAATGAGCGTAAAGGACCCAAAAATATAATTTAGGGTAGAAGGTTAGATCTAACCTGTTTTCTAACCTCATTTCTACCCTCTTGAATTTTCATGAATTTTCCCGAAATAAAAAATAAAGTTAGTTTTATTTTTTTATTTTTTTTTATTTTGTATAAAAGAACAGAAATGTCAGTCGAAGCAACAACAATTCAAACAACAGCACCAAACTCGTTAGTCATGAATCCAACATCTATGTTAGTAGAAATGAAAAGCTTCATTCCTTCTTCATATACTTTTGAAACAGAAATCCAGAAGATAAAGCAGGAACTTTTAACAAGTACTTTGGACTGTTGTGCGAAAGATGAACAAAATGAACAGTATCTTTACGACATGCAGGACCTGGTGGAACATTTACCCAAATTGCCTGAAATCCAACAACAAAAACTCACTATTCCTGAATTCGACGAAATTGAAGTCAAAGCAACTGACTCAGTAGAAATAAAGAAGTTCATACGAAAGGTAAACTATGAGTTTCTAGGATTTCATTGCAACCATAAGGTTATGGACAAAGATTGCGACATGGTATATAAGAATGTTTCTGACATATATAAATCTGAAGAATTTAAGACCTACGACAACTTTGTTTCGTTAGTTGCTGAATGTGTATGGCAGATAAGAGATAAAGATAAAAGATGTAAAATATGGAACAAACAAATAAGACCCGCTATGTTTGAGATGAAGAGAGCAATTGACGCTTTAGTTGTTCTAGCAGGTAAGGTTTCAGAATATAACGCAAAAATGAACCCGCAATGTTCTAAATGTAAAGCGGCAATGAGGAAATATAACTACTCCGTCAAAGAGATAGAAAGAATGAGAAACGACTATGCTGACTTAAAGAAAGAAGCAGAGAAGCCGGTAGAAGATAAAATGGACATGTTAGCATTTCTGAACAAAAACTATCCAACTGCTGACGATTTCCTTCTATCTGACGTCAAGAAGAAATATAAAGAGACTTTCGGCATAGTTAAAACATTCGATATTCTCAGCGAAGAAATAGAAGCTACAAAACTGTTTAGAGTCTCACGAATTCATAACGTTTACCATGTAAAACGCTTATAAAATAACTGGGGTAGAAAAGAGGTTAGAAAACAGGTTAGATCTAACCTTCTACCCTAAAATATATTTTTGCTGAATTCAGCACAAAATTCTGAGTAAAATAATTTTTAGGGCTTGTGTCAAACCGTTGAGTTTTCACAAAATTCCAAAAATAACGTTTACCATGTGAAACGCTTATAAAATAACTGGGGTAGAAAAGAGGTTAGAAATGAGGTTAGATCTAACCTTCTACCCTAAAATATATTTTTATTGAAAAATGACCAAAAATCATGAGTTTCCTCATATGCTTGCTACCCTCGAAAAACCGAGGGTAGAGATTCCGTACGAAAATCGCAAGAATTTGCCAATAAATTTAAGAGGTTGGTATGTACATAGACTATTAGTAAATGCAGTTGCAGTGAAGGCTTACTTTACATCGTTCAGAAACCAAACATACAGACATTGGTTCAAAAACCAAAGCACACAAGAACTTTTGAGTGAAATTTCTCTAGACCGACTTTTTTCGGTCTAGCATAAAACTCATGAAAATCGTAAAAAACAGCGAGTAAGTAAAAAAACGTAGTCGCCTAAAACTCATGAAAATCGTAAAAATTTGCCATGCTGCTCTTCTGAGTTCGTCGGTATTTTGGAAGTGTTGCACCTTCGAGTCTTCTGACATGAAAAAAATGACCAAATTTCATTATATAACTGTTATTTTTTACGAAGTGAACTTTTGCACTTCGTAAAAAAAATCCCTGAAATCATATCTTTTATACAAAATAAAAAAAATAACGTTAGTTTTTTTCTATCTTAAGGAAATTCATGAAAATTCAACGGGTGAAAAAAGAGGTGAGAAAACAGGTTAGATCTCACCTCTTCACCTAAAATATATTTTTGCCGAATTCTGTATAAAATTCTGAGTAAAATGACATATGGAACACATACTTTTTCAGTAAGGACATATGAGGTGAAAAAAGAGGTGAGAAAACGGGTTAGATCTAACCATCTACCCTAAAATATATTTTTGCTGAAAAAAATGACCAAATTTCATTATATAACTGTTATTTTTGACGAAGTGAACTTTGACACTTCGTAAAAAAAATCCCTGAAATCATATCTTTTATACAAAATAGAAAAAATAACGTTAGTTTTTTTTAAAAAAATATTTTTTATTTTGTATGTAAAGACAGATATGTTAAAGGTTGAGTTTGAAACAGTTAGAAAGATAGACAATGACACCAAAGTGGTTAGAATAGGTGATTTAAACGTAAGATACTCAAAGAAATACAACAAATATTCTTTGTCAGACATTTTATCTCCATTTGGAAAGAAACCGAAGGACTGGGTTGGAATTGCTTCTACTCAGAAATTTTGACAAGAAATCCTGAGCTTATGATATCGGTAAGATTCTATGGAACTACAGCATATCTTATAGACAAAAGTCTTATACCAATAGTTTTGTTATGGTTAGACCCAGTTGTTGGATATAACTTCATAACATATGGTTCATTCGATACGGAACGTTGCAGTGAAGGCTTACTTTACATCGTTCAGAAACCGAAGGACTTCAACACAAAAAGATATAAGATAGGAAGAACATATAATATAACTCAAAGATATGACAGTACAGTCAATAGAGTCAAGGTTGTGTTTGTTAATGATATGAGAGCTGCTGAAACAGAACTACTTGAAAAGTTTGAGAAAATGTATGGTGCTCCCACGAAAGGTAAAGAAACGTTTGAAGTAGATGAGATAGATAAAGCTATAAAATTATTTGACGAAGTTGCTGAAAAATACATGTAAAGCGTTTATTTTTGGTCTTTTGTGAAAGTCAGGAAATAACGCTAGTTTTTTATAAAATATTTTTTTTATTTTGTATGTAAAGACAGATATGTCAACAACCGAGAACACAACAACAGTTATAGTCCATGAAGCTATAAATGAAGAATATGAGTACATACAGTTTAACAAACAACTCCGTCTCATTCGTTCGGTCAAAGACGATATGTACCAAATGCAAAGTATTTTGAATGCTCTTCGTTCTACAAAGCAAGCATATCATTGGTTTGAAAACCAACAGACAAAAGAACTTTTAGAAGAATTTCCTCATATGTTTGCGACCCTCGAAAAACCGAGGGTCGAGATTCCGTACGAAAATCGTAAAAATTTGTCAAATGGTTTGAGAGGCTGGTATGTACATAGACTTCTTGTAAATGCTGTTGCAATGTGGGCTTCACCTCGTTATGCTTGTTATATTTTCATGATGTTAGATGAAATTCATAGACAAGAACGTGAAGAGATAGAAAACAAGCTTGAAGCAAAAGACAAAAGCCTTCAGAAAAGAATACCACGTTCGGTACCAAAAGGAAAGGAAAAGAACTATAAGTATATGATTTATACTGAAGAGATGGAAAATGAAGAAGACAGAGATATGGTTATGTTGCATTTAGTCAGAAGAAACAACAAAAGCTTTTACGACCTTGCTAAGATTTACAAATCTGACAGAAATTGGTTCTATCGCGAAAACTTACCGATTTCAATGACACCAAATGAAGATGTGAAACAAATAGTTCAAGATACGTTACCTCAAACACACTATGATATTAAAGGTTGTACAATACTTACCTTCAAAGAAGATTTGTCATTGTTAAAGGAAAAAATAACAGAGTATTTTGACAACTTCAAACAAGTAGAGTAAATGAACTCTTTATTTTTCAAGCTTGACTTTTTACAATTTGAACTTTGTTTGCGTAGATATGAATTCTGAAAGAAGTATGAGGGTCTTGTATGACTTTGTACTTCTCCCATAGTTCATGTCTGTCAAACTTACCTGCCATGGACTCTTTCATAAGTTCCATGAAATCGTCTTCGGACAATCCGGGAAAAGTACAATGTCAGTAAGTATTCTCTTTACATCCTTAACTTAAACTCTTGGCTGTCTGTTACACAAACAACTGAAATTGTTAAAAGTGTCTGAGCTTCTTAAGAATTCGACACATGTCTTGTTCTCTATTCTTTAACAAAGGATGAGAGCAAAGTCATCTAAGATAAGAAGACATCTATGAGGGTACGTTTTCCAATCGTAAGATTGCAATTCTTCGAAATGATTCTATCTCTTTCTGTTTGTTTCTGAAGTGTTTCTTCTCTAATATTCTCTGCATTTCCTCATTTGGGTCTTTAAACTTCGAATTGACATACTCATTTATAGCATTATACTTCAAAACTCTTCTTTGGTACTTCTTTATCCAATCTAACAACTCAGAGTCTTTTATACATACTAACTTAGACTCTTTATAATATCTTTGAACGAATTGACGGTTTGGTCAAATTGACCAGAAGTACTACAAATGACAACTAACTCATAGAATGGGTTCTTCTCATCTAGTTCTTGTTGTTGTGCAGCCATTTTAAGATAAGTGAAAGTCTTACCCGACCCAGGTGGTGCAATTAGACCTGTTATACCATTCTGAGCAAATAAGAACTTGTCATGTATGGGTTTTATCTGAGCATTTTCCAACTTCCTCTTGTTCTTGTTAAAACATTCTCAAATTTCTTGTCAATGTCAGCAAACTTTTTTTCTAACATATTTTTAGAAAAATTAAAATTTTTATCTTTTAGAAAATGTCTAGCGATTTCGCTATCTATATTCGAGACAAACTTTTCGACAGCAAAACATCTGTAGACCATAAAATCTTACATAGTGTAAACAAGAAAGGGGAATTTGTTCTAAAGTTCTGTTTCTGGGAATATGACAAGAACCATAAAACATTAAGCAGAGCAGTCTTAAAATTTGTCAATGACAGACTTGTTGACAGAGATGACGCCTCTTGGAGAGATGAAGTCCAACAAAACTTCTTAGAATGCAAAGAAGACACATGCACTGTTCTTGAAGATGAAATAGAAAACAGAATAGATGAGCTATTAAAGGACAAAGAACTTTTACATAAATATGGTTCTGAGAAATTTGACGTCTCACCACCAGAAAAGAAGAAGAGAGAAAAGAAAGAAAAGAAAGTAGAAGAAGAGAAGAAAGAACCTGAACCAGTTCCAGAGAAGAAGAAATTTGACATGTAAAAATAAAATTTTATTTTTAGAACATTTCTGGGTCAATGTCAATGTTCTCTTCCTCTTTAGGAGTAAACACTGGCTTAGACTCTAAAATCTTTTTACCCAATTTACCTTGAACTTCTACAACTTTAGACTCATAATATTCATAGTCGTCTGCTTTCTTTGGTTCATAAGGTATAACAAGTTTGTATGCTTTGCCTTCTTTAAGGTTTGAGAACCTTCTGTCAAAACTTTCTTTGACTGTTAACAAACCTTCTATGTCTAAGTCTTCAAATTTCGCACCATTTTTAGTCACAATAGCAAACTTAACTGGTTCGATGTTCCAAACTTTGCTGAATGAAGACTTTTCAAAATGGTAGAAGTAAACATTCAAATATGTGAATGGGTCTAGTTCTTCTTTAAGTCCTGACATGTACTTGTTTACTGAGATGAATTTTGTCATCTTTTCTATATCGGATAAAAAAAATATTTTTTTTTAAATTTACTCAGAAAAATTTTTCTTTGTATAATACACCATTCTGTACGTCTAAAAGACTTTTGACATTTGCCAAGAATGTTCGTTTAGACGCTGTCATATAACCATATTCTTGACAATATTGTTTATACGAATCGTACAATGACCTTTCATCTAAACACTCAAAGTCAGTTTCATCTATGAACAGTTCATATACACTCTTGTTTGCTTCTAACAATGTTTGTCTCTCTTCGGTATGTGGAATTTGTCTTGGATTGAACTTTGAAATATCTAATGTCATGAAATATGAGAACAAGTGGTTGTAAAAGTCAGATGTCAAAGTTTCTGCTAAGTCGTCAAAATATTCTGTATCTTGCATATGAGAATCTGACGTTCTGACAACTACATATCTTCTGTCAGAACTTTCTAACTTCATCGGAACAGCATTGTTTGAAACCATAATGAAGTTTGCAACATTTTCACAAACTCTTTGGTCTTTATACTTTCTTTCAACAACTCCAACTTTGTCTGTTATAAGACTCTTCAAAGCATCTGAGTTCAAAACTTTTGTTGTATCTATACTTTGAAGTTCGTTACATACTATAAGTTTCATATTCTCTATTGAAGAGTTAAATTTACCGCAGATGTTTTCTAAGTTTGTCATATTAGGGTTCGAATAACCTTCTAACAGTTTGCATAAGATATCTGTAAAGAAAGTATTCTTACCAGTTCCTTGTTTTCCAATTATAATGAGAGCAGTTTCATTTTTAGCACTTGGATGTTGTAAGATGTTTGCAAACCAACATAAGATATACTCATAGACTCTTTCGTTTCCATTGCATATAATTTCTTTGACATGGTCTAACCAAGCTTCTATAATACTGTGTTTCCATTCTACTTGTTCGTATTTATATCCAGTGAAGATAGAATAGAAGTTTGGAGAAGGTGTATATAAACTTTATACCCCGAACTGAAAAATCTTCAAGTTTTGACAATAAGATATCCCAAGCATCTAACATCTTCATGCCAACTTGTACGACTTTTTATTTTCTTAAGTTTCTGTTTACATTCTTGTTCTGAAACTATTGTCGCTTTAGGTTTGTTAAAGACTACATCCCATTCTTTATAACATAACATTCTGGGGCAGAGTCGACATAAATGACTAAACGTTTCAAATTCTCGACTGCTTTGTTATAGTCTCGAAATGGACACATATTTCTGAATGTTTGGAAGTCATAAAAATCTGAAACATCTATTCTGTACATTTTTATAAGAATAAAAAAAATATTTTTTTTATTCTTGACTTTGTTGTTCCATTTGTTGCATTTGTTGTTCTTGAGCTATTTGTTGTTGAAGTTGTTCTTGTAATACAATACTTTCACCAGTTGCATCTTCCAATTCGAAACTTTCTGCCGTCATTGACAAATACATAGGACATAAAAGTTTTACAGGAACAAAGTTTGCGTCAACTAAGGTTAAGTTTATGTTTGCTAAAGTGTTTGAGTTTACTAAAGCTGAAAACTCTGCATTCGAATGAACAATAGGCAAACCAGAGAGAATGTGTTATTTATACGCATAAGTATCTTTTGGTCATAGTAGTTTTCTGTCGACATTCGAATAACACTTTGAACCTAAGTTTGAAACAATATATAAAATAGGTGTACTTAAAGTCAATGGAACAGACATTCCTTGTATGACACCTTTTCCTGTTATAGGAAACTGTTGGTAGTAAAAACCAGATATAAGTTTTGTATTATAGCTCATATTGTTTATAGTAAAACTCAGTCGGACATCCAAACATAATGAAACCTGCTCTAGTTGCAGCACATGTTACATCCGTCCTTAAAGTATTAAATAAGTCAACAAAACCTGTTGGTGGTATATCTGAGTAAGTATCTTCAAAGGAGTATTTTTACCATTCACAACAATAAAATCTTCTGGTGTCAAAAGAGCAAAACAAGCTTTAGTCGTCATTGTGTTTAAGGTTAGTTTACAATATCGTCCTTGAGGACTTTGTAAGTTTGTTGTTATAGAATTATATGACTCAGGGTTTTTAGTCGTAATAGTATAAACCATTGTGTCTTCTGCCATTTATATATATTTAAAAGTTTTTCTGAAAGTGGAGAAGAACTTCATCTAACTTTCACATGGCGTTTCTTGAAGTTCTCTGTCTAAGAAGTTCAAATATTTTGTAAAGACATAGAACTTTCCTTTGTCTACACGAACAAACAAAACAGGGTCTTTCATATCGTTCAAAAGTGTGTAAAGTCCTTTACATGAAATAAAGTCTATATTATTTTTCTTCAAACATCTTTCAAGAAGTTTTGACATTTTTACTTAGCAAATAAACTTTAATGAAATGTTGTGGTCGTCAAATATTTTTATAACGTCTGGGAAACTATATTTTAAGTTCAACGTTTCACCTCCTTTCATAACGTATATCTTGTCAATGACATTATATGAAACACCACAGCAACTAATGTCGGGTTCTATTTTTTGATGTTTATATCGTCTGCCTCTGTCAAAAGTTTCAATAGTTTTTCAAAACTTCATGAGGTGCAATGACATATGAGTTCACTTTTACAGGGTTGTGTTCGACCAAGTTTAACATTATACCTAAAGCTTGACAAATCTTCTCCTGAGTTTGAAGTTTGTCTTTCAGTTGTTGGTAGTCGTTTCGAATATCTGCAACAGAACTTAAGTCTCTGCTAACTTCAGGGTATGTTGGTTGTTCTTTTACAGGAACAATTGTTATACCATCTTCGTCCTCGTATGGTTTCCCCACTTCAACATCTCTGTCTTTGACATTGACAATAACACTTTGACTGTTTGTTTGAGTTGGTGAATTTAACTTCACATCTGCCACCGCCATTAAACCTTTTGAAACACTTACGCTTCTATTTTTCGGAAATGACATTTTACTTAGAATAAAAAGATGGACGTATTTGAGTATCTCTTCGAATTGAAGCAAAAAAAGTTTACACACACAAACAATACAAATACATTGACAGAATAGTTCTTTATACAAACAATGGAAAATGTTATAGAATAGCAGTCTTTGCTGAACCAAAATATTTTCATAAAGCAAAGAAAGTTGGTATAACTGAAATGGTGAAAGTTCTTGAAGCAGACAAAAATATAACTTCAAAACTTACAGATATTTAAAGGTAAGTTTA